GGAAGTCTGTGGGAAGGGAAAAGTGTGGCAGAAAACGCTGCACAACGAGAAGAGGTGACCGGACCCTGAGGAGGATTGTGGAGAAGGGCCGATTCCAGACCTTGGGGGACCTGCGGAAGCAGTGGACTGAGTCTGGAGTAGAAACATCCAGAGCCACCGTGCACAGGCGTGTGCAGGAAATGGGCTACAGGTGCCACATTCCCCAGGTCAAGCCACTCTTGAACAAGAGACTGCGTCAGAAGCACCTGACCTGGGCTACAGAGAAGCAGCACTGGACTGTTGCTCAGTGGTCCAAAGTACTTTTTTCAGATGAAAGCAAATTTTGCATGTCATTCAGAAATCAAGGTGCCAGAGTCTGGAGGAAGACTGGGGAGAAGGAAATGCCAAAATGCCAGAAGTCCAGTGTGAAGCACCCACAGTCAGTGATGGTCTGGTGCCATGTCAGCTGCTGGTGTTGGTCCACTGTGTTTTATCAAGGGCAGGGTCAATGCAGCAGCTATCAGAAGATTTTGGAGCACTTCATGCTTCCATCTGCTGAAAAGCTTTATGGAGATGAAGATTTCATTTTCAGCACGACCTGGCACCTGCTCCCAGTGCCAAAACCACTGGTAACTGGTTTACTGACCATGGTATTACTGTGCTCAATTGGCCTGCCAACTCTCCTGACCTGAACCCCATAGAGAACCTGTGGGATATTGTGAAGAGAAAGTTGAGAGAACAAGACCCAACACTCTGGATGAGCTTAAGGCCGCTATCGAAGCATCCTGGGCCTCCATAACACCTCAGCAGTGCCACAGGCTGATTGCCTCCATGCCACGCCGCATTGAAGCAGTCATTCATGCAAAAGGATTCCTGACCAAGTATTGAGTGCATAACTGAACATGATTATTTGAAGGTTGGTGTTTTTTGTATTAAAAACACTTGTCTTTCATTGGTGGGATGAAATATGCTCATTTTTTGGGACAGGCATTTTGGGTTTTCATGAGCTGTATGCCATAATCATCAGTATTAAAACAATTAAAGACCTGAAATATTTCAGTTGATGTGCAATGAATCTGAAATATATGAAAGTTTCATTTTTATCATTACATTATGGAAAATAATGACCTTTATCACAATATGCTCATTCTTTGAGAAGGACCTGTACAGAACGAGCACGACAACTAGTCCACGCTACTAGAAGCTCTTACAGGTGCATTGTGGGTATTGTATGCAGCAATAATCACAAATAAAGGAGCTGTTTCCGTTGGCATCATAAGCTTCAATCGTGTTCAATATTCAATAATCACAAAAACTATTAAAGCATGACTCAAGTAGTCAGTTTATTTATTAATAATTCACATTTAATGACAAGTTGTAATCAAAGTGCTGCACAACAACAATGAAATTAAATAAAGTAAACTGAGAAAGGAGTTTGACAGGGTAGTAAAATACCAGAGTCCACAAGAAACAAATACATTTCCTCAGAGATGATGAGAAAACATGATTCCAGGAAAATGTGAAAGTTTCTGTTGCAGCAACGTTTATGAAAAGACGTGGATTCAAGTCGTCTGGAAACATGAAGCTAATGTTCTGTTTGAAAGTTGCATTCAGATCATTTTGGTTTATTACAAGGCAGAGGTGCACAGACGACCCCCCCAACCTTAAACACAGGAAGGTGCTGGAAAACACGCTGGCTGAGAAGAAAAACAAACTCTGGGAAACGAGGAAATTAAAAACACAGAACTGGTCAGAGTTTTTTTGTTTTAATCAACTGAACTGATTTAAAAAGCACTTCTAGTGAAGCAATAACAAAAATGGCTAACTATAATGATGAAGTAACTAAACGAGGACAAGGGATTTTTTTTTAGTACTCAACAGCAGAATTTTATTTGGACGTAATTACATTTATCAGCCAGGTGACAAATGCTTGGCTTCAACATGAAATACTATGTATGTATTAAACATGTATATATGTATGTATTATACATGTGTATATGTATGTATTAAACATGTGTATATGTATGTATTAAACATGTGTGTGTGTATATATATATATATATATATATATATATATATATATGTATATATATATATATATATATATATATATATATGTGTGTGTGTGTGTGTATTAAACTACTGCTTCTACTTTTCAGATTGAACCCAAAGTTTTATTTCAGCATTAATCTCCAATTAAAGAGATAAAAGCGTAACTTCTACAAGCTGTTTGTGTTGAAATACAACTGCGTCAGTGTGACAGCAGCTTTGTCGTCAGGGTAAAGACTTCCTTTAATCAATCAATCAATACAAAGATGAAAGATCCCAAACTGGAAAACAGGAGGACACTTAGTGTGCCAGCACCACCCGAAGGCGTCAGAAGGATCTACACGTTTGAAATGTAAAAGTTCAACCTTAGCACCAAACGTAGACTTTGTTACCTGTTAAAGACAAACTTGGCATTTCTGAAACAACAATCATTTTATTTACTGCAAATAAAAAAGTTGAAGTTCTTTAAATGCAGTAAGGACAGTACAACAGGAACTGCTGTTAAGTAACATTTAGATTTATTAAATTACTTACAATGCAAAGTGTCCTGGCAGTTTGGAAGTGTAGAAATATTAAAACCTGTTTTTATTATTAATGTTGTTGCGATCTTAAACAGTCCTCATGAACATGTTTCTTAAAACGAGTTAAACTATGAACAATAAAAAATATAAACTGGACTGCATTTGGACAACTTTCAACAAGTAGATCATTTATCAGAACGGCCAACTGCTTCACATGAAAGTAATCAATGTGCTCCCACTCCACCATACTTTACTCGACTGAACCTAATTGAATTGGAATATTCACCAGATCGGCACTTTCTACTCTACAAATGCTGATTTTAAAAAAGAGGAGCGGGCTCTGTTCACACAAGGAGAGCTGTTGGTCAGGCTACTTCTTGTTGAGCCGTGCTCTTCAGCTGAGGCTGAAAGAAGGTTTAGGCCAGGGGTGTCAAACTCACTTAGAAAAGGGGGCCAACATTAAAACCTTTTTCAAACTAAGGGCCAGTTTCAGAATCTACAAACCGGATTCCAAAAAAGTTGGGACACTAAACAAATTGTGAATAAAAACTGAATGCAATGACGTGGAGGTGCCAACATCTAATATTTTATTCAGAATAGAACACAAATCACAGATCAAAAGTTTAAACTGAGAGAATGTTTCATTTTAAGGGAAAAATCTGTTGTTTCCAAATTTCATGGCGTCAACAAATCCCAAAAAAGTTGGGACAAGTCCATTTTTCCCACTGTGTGGCATCCCCCCTTCTTCTTACAACACTCAACAGACGTCTGGGGACAGAGGAGACCAGTTTCTCCAGTTTAGAAATAGGAATGCTCTCCCATTCATGTCTAATACAGGCCTCTAACTGTTCAATCGTCTTGGGCCTTCTTTGTGGCACCTTCCTCTTTATGATGCACCAAATGTTCTCTATAGGTGAAAGATCTGGACTGCAGGCTGGACATTTCAGTACCCGGATCCTTCTCCTACGTAGCCATGATGCTGTGATTGCTGCAGAATGTGGTCTGGCATTATCGTGTTGAAAAATGCAGGGTCTTCCCTGAAAGAGATGACGTCTAGATGGGAGCATATGTTGTTCTAGAACCTGAACATAGTTCTCTGCATTAATGGTGCCTTTCCAGACATGCAAGCTGCCCATGCCACAAGCGCTCATGCAACCCCATACCATCAGTGATGCAGGCTTCTGAACAGAGCGTTGATAACAACTTGGGCTATCCTTGTCCTCTCTGGTCCGGATGACATGGCGTCCCAGTGTTCCATAAAGAACTTCAAATGGTGACTCATCTGACCACAGAACAGTCTTCCATTTTGCCACACTCCATTTTAAATGACCCCTGGCCCAGTGCAAACGTCTGAGCTTGTGGAGCTTGCTTAGAAATGGCTTCCTCTTTGCACTGTAGAGTTTCAGCTGGCAACGGCGGATGGCACGGTGGATTGTGTTCACTGACAATGCTTTCTGGAAGTATTCCTGAGCCCATTCTGTTATTTCCTTGACAGTGGCATTCCTGTTTGAGGTGCAGTGACGTTTAAGGGCCCGGAGATCACGAGCATCCAGTAGAGTTTTACGGCCTTGACCCTTACGCACAGCGATTGTTCCAGATTCTCTGAATCTTTTGATGATGTTATGCACGGGTGATGATGATAACTTAAAAGTCTTTGCTATTTTACGCTGGGTAACACCATTCTGGTATTGCTGCACTATCTTTCTGCACAACAATGGTGGAATTGGTGATCCTCTTACCATCTTGGCTTCTGAGAGACACTGACACTCTGAGAAGCTCTTTTTATACCCAATCATGTTGTCAATTGACCTAATTAGTGTTAATTGGTCTTCCAGCTGTTCGTTATATGCTCAATTTCCTTTTTCCAGCAACTTATTGCTACTTGTCCCAACTTTTTTGGGATTTGTTGACACTGTGAAATTTTGAATCAACATATTTTCCTTTAAAATGTTACATTTAGTCAGATTAAACTTTTGATCTGTCATCTATGTTATATTACAAATAAAATATTGACATTTGCCATCTCCACATCATTGCATTCAGTTTTTATTCACAATTTGTTTAGTGTCCCAACTTTTTTGGAATCCTGTTTGTACATTCATTCAACCTTTATTTATACAGGTAAATCCCATTGAGCCTCGAGGACTCATTTACAAGAGAGACCTGATTTCAACAAAGAAAGATGACAACAATGGACAACAGCAACAATAAACAGTTATAAAAAGTCATCATACAGGTTTTTTGTTGTTGTTGTTTTTTTAACAAATAGGATGGCTAAAAGGAAAAGGTAACAAAAAAACAAAAACAGCTAGATTCCAAGACAAATGTATAAAACTAAAAACAGGAACATGTCTGCATTGGTCCCTGCCAGGAGTCCAACAGATTCTTAAAGACACTTAGAGAGGTCAAAGGTCGAGAGCTTCAAATCTTTTTGTAAGATATTCCAGGAAACAGGAGCGGAGTAGGTACAGTAGTACATTAACTCAAGTTAGACACCCAACATCTTGTCTTGGTCACAGGTTCCTCAACAAGAGTTTGATTGGTCTCATTTCATGTTCTCTGCTGTGTTTTTGACATCATAATCAAAGATTACTGAAAAAAATTCAAGCGATAGAAGTATTTTACGTTTCACATATCATCTTGGGGGCCAGATACGATGTCAACGAGGGCCACATTTGGCCCCCAGGCCTTGAGGTTGACACGTATGGTTTAGGCCTTCAAGAAGGCTTAAGACATGGTCTAACAAGGTTAAGGTACCAAATTTTTCAGTCTATAAGGCGCGGTTTTTTTTGCATTATTTGCATACCCTGCGACTTAATACGCCGAAGCGACTTGTGTTTTTTCCCCATAAACAATGTTTGGCTGCGATATGACGGTTTTCATTCATTTTGACTGAAAATATTGAACACTACCATTTTCAGCCACTAGATGCCACTGGAGTAGTATGGCATGCCGTTGTGTCATGTAATAGGTAAAAAGTGGCTATTAATGACACAATCAGCTTGCCACAGTAAGCCACCTTCATCCAGCTCAGCTGAAGCAAACGTCAAATCAGCTTCATTTCTCTGCGCCGCCCCGACGAAATGCAGCTGATTTGACCACTGAAGTGCATTTATTAAGTAAAAGTTCAACTGAGACACACCTTTAATATAACGTCAAGCAAATAATTGTTTTTAAGTGTTAATCTTGTTAAATTCTTGTTAAAGTCCTCCTGTGCACGCTCCCGCGGCCGCCATTTGGCAGCCAATCAATTTTTGGCACAACACCGGCCACATTTCCAGGTTGTCAGCGGTGAAGCATTATAGATGCAACCCATTTATGGATTGTCCCACTTTATTAGACATATTTGGAGTGATGAGACTTATAGGGCGGTGCGACGTGTACGGTGGAAAATACGGTAGCTGTACAGATTCTTCTTCTTCAGACATGGCTTCACTCCTCCATGTTTGAACAATGTAGCTGTCTGCCACAAACAACATAGACCTGACCAGGTGGACATGAGGGAGGATGGCCAGTCTTTGTGTCTGTCACTGACAGAAGGCGGCACACGTTTCCAGAAGCTTTGTCTAATCTGAGCAGGAAGAACTCTTGTCTTTGCCCTAAGATCTGTAAAGTCCAGTTGATGGTGTTATAGAGAACCCCTTGAAGGTGAAATATCATGTTAAGGAGAAAGAACCCAGGTAACACAAGTGTTCTGGAAAGTAAAATGAGTAAAGTCAGTGATGAGGAAGGAATGATGGAAAGGAAACAACGGGAGAAGGAGATGGAGAGGCTTGTGAAGGAAAGGAGAATAAAACTTGTGAAGTGTAGAAATTGTAATGGCACCAATGTAGGAAGGAACCTGTAAATTATTTTGTTTTAATAGCTACATACAGGTTAACAAAACTGGCTACAAAAGTGTTTTTGTGTCACTACTGCTTGGAACAGTGAAGTGCTGTGAAGGCTGCATGATGCCACGTCATGTTCTGTTATGAGTAGGTCTATCACTAAAAATCAATCAAAGTTTTGATTTTGGAACACAGGATAAAAGTACAGTTGTTGTCCTGTTGAGCTCTCTGAAGTGTCAGAAATAATAGCTTCATCCACATGTCTGCTAGATCCCAACCAGACTGTTTAAAGAGGTATTTCCCTTAATTAATAACCACGTCTTGGATCTGATTAGTTTGTCTCTTAGGTACAACAAAGATTTAAGATTGCTGTAATTAAACCTTTACTTAAGAGACATAACCTTTACTCAGGAATCCTAGCCAACTATAGACCTATATCTAATCTAACTTTCATCTCAAAATTCTAGAGAAAATAGTTGCAGGTCAGTTACGTGATCATTTGCAAAGAAATAATCTGTTTGAAGAGTTTCAGTCAGGGTTTAGAGCTCACCACAGCACTGAATCTGCACTGGTGAAAGTCACTAATGATATTCTCATGGCCTCAGACAATGGACTGGTGTCTCTACTGGTCCTGTTAGACCTCAGTGCTGCATTTGATACAGTTGATCACAATATTTTACTACAGAGGCTTGAATATGATGTTGGGATTACAGGAACAGCTCTAAAATGGTTTAAATCATATCTATCTGATAGATTCCAGTTTGTAAATGTAAATAATAAATCTTCTTCATACACCAAAGTTAGTCATGGAGTTCCTCAAGGTTCAGTGCTTAGAACTATACTTTTTACTTTATATATGCTTCCATTAGGTAAAGTTATTAAACAACATGGGATAATTTTTCATTGTTATGCTGATGACACACAATTATATTTGTCCATTAAACCCAATGAATCCAATCAGCTACTTAGACTACAAGCATGTCTTAAAGACATAAAAACCTGGATGACCCTTAATTTTCTCCTGTTGAACAGACAAGACTGAGGTTTTGGTTTTTGGACCTGAGCACCTTAGGAATTAATGTTTCTGTTAAATTATTATTTTATAGATGAATGTTTCTGTTAAA